GAGGACGCGCTGTCCCGGCGCCCGTCCGCCCACCCGCCCAGGGGCAGAGTGGCCCAAGCCACGGCAGCCTGCCCGTAGATCAGTCTTTGCTGCCCTTCGTGGGCGCAGCTGCCCGTGGGGTGCTTCCCCTTCCTTGAGGAGACGGCGCTTCTGACGCCAAGAGGTGCCCCATCCCTGTCTGGAAGGCACGACCACGCCGGTCTCTGCCTCTTAAAATGTGCCTGGCCCCAGCTTTCTGTCCGCTTGGGGTCGTCGGGGGCTTTCCAGTTGCAGCCCCGTGGGGTATGTTCATCACTTGTTTTCTCGCAGGTGTTCCAGAAAAAGGGCCTTTCAGATTACCAAGTCCTTTCTGCCCATCCTGGAGTGGCTGCCCAACTACCGGGTGAAGGAGTGGCTGATCAGCGATGTCATCTCGGGGGTCAGCACCGGCCTCGTCGCCACCTTGCAAGGTAAATCCAGGCGCGCCGCCCGCCCTTCTCCGGGGCGATTCTGTAAGGGAGCCGGCCGAACACAGGGATGTTATGCAGATGGAATTACAAATCTGAGACTTGTTATTTAATACTAGATATTAGGTATTATTTTGCAATAAATAATTCATGGTTTTAATTTATTCTTTTTTTCTCTGCTTGGCTAGAAGATTTAAATTTCCTTTGATGTGCTATCAAGATGTATTTAACTTTTTTCCCAAGCCTTTTACTCAAAGAGTATTCATTTTGATATTTAAAATTTTAGTTACATTGTGATAGTCAGATAGGTCCTGTGGTCTTACTTCTCTTTCTTGGTCATCGGAGCCTATAGCTCTCCTGCAGCCGCCTACAAAAATCTAGTTATTGCCCCAAAATAATGCAGCCTTGATATCTACTTTCCTTTAAAATTTGGCCCATAAGGTTGTTCTGCAGAAAACAACCCTCAAGGAGGTGGTGGTATATTCACATTAAAATAATTTATAAACTTGAGGGATATTTACAGTACATGGCTTGCAATGTTAAGTTTTCTTCATTTCATTTTTCTATTTATTAGGAAAGCATTCAGTAGATGAACAAATAAAAAAGTGGCAGAAATAAGCAGAAATTAATTAAAATAAGCTAGTTAAGGAAGACTTAAAGGGCAGAACCATTCTGCCTGAGGCAGCTGATGAGGTCCACTTTCAAAGACAAGACTAGCTATAACCCTGACGCGATCCAGCACATTCCTTTCTTTCATCTAAATAGTGTTCTTACACTATTTTCACAATTTTTCAGGACTGGGGGAGGTTAAGCTAGATGTGTCAACCCCACATTTTCCCTCAAGGGAAATTAAGTGTTTGCACAAGGGGGCGAAGATTCACACTGGGAGCAAAGAAAGCAGTTTATGCATTCCCAATTAGCCACAAGTATTCCTTACTGGCTGTTCCCTTGGAGCATGCTAGGAAGGCAAAGACTGGCAGAAAAAAAGCATTATAAACTTCTGCCCCAGGCAGAGGGTGACCTGAGGAATAAGGAAGTGATTCGTTCACAATCCCACAGGGAGTCTGTGGCAAAGCTGGAAGATCTCTGCCGAAGGTAATGCCAGTTCCAGGACTCCCCTGCCTTTTTGAAATGAACTGGGCTAGATGGGCTTTTCATATGACTTATAATAGCTATTATGTTCTTACTGTAACCCCCTCATTTGTTTTTTTACAGTGGGGCCTGATTTTCTCACAATTAGATTCCACTTGTAAAACTGATTTGTGAAATATACTGTTTGGTCTCCTACCTATGTATTAAAAAAAAATATATATAAATTAGTGAAAATCTAAATCTAGCTGTAATTTAAAAAAAAAAAAATAATAATTCTGAAATTCCAAAACATGCAATACAGGGAAAATTGGCCAAAATGTTTGCCAAAAAAGAGGCTTCTGGGATCTTGAGGTCCCTGAAGTCCCTAACTCCCAGCAACTGTGTGTGTTGCTTGCAGTCCTCCCACCACTCACAGTCGTATGACCAGGACTTCAATTGTTTTGAACTCTGATAGGTTTTTGCGGTATCTTTGAAGGAGAATACTACACTCTGCAGTGGGAGCTAACCGGGATATGATACTGAAGGCAACTTTTTTTTTCATTGTTTGTTGGATTTGACGGCTTGCACAGGTGTACAAAGGAAGATGATGATAAGGATCAAAACTCTCAAATTTGTGTGATTTACTTTTGGTATTTAAGTTGATAAGCTGATACCGAAAAAAAAGTGGCCTGATTTTCAGAAGGGCTGAACATACTGAAGTGTATTTGTAGTGCAGTAATTCAGAGTCTGTGCTTGAAATTTCTGTCTATAACTAGAACATTTCACATATCCCTCTCTTCTCTCAAGGGGCAGAGCATTCACTCTTGCAACAGTGTTCCCCCACTTAAACTTCACATCTGAGCTCATGTTTTGTGCTACCTACACAAATATAGGAACATCTTTCAGTACTTGCTAATCCACCTACCAGTGTGGGAAATACAATCATTTACAGTCATTGATATTCACATATGTGCCTCCAACTGATTTACAGACGAAACACATTCTAAATTGTATCTGGACAAAAGGAGTAAATCTTTCTGAAAGTCTGTTCTAGACAAGATAGTAGTTGAGAGATTTTAAGTCTGACATTGTGGTGATCTACCATTTCAGGTTTGGCATATGCTTTGCTGGTTGCAGTTCCTGTTGGATATGGTCTCTATTCTGCCTTTTTTCCCATCCTGACATACTTTTTCCTGGGAACATCAAGGCACATCTCAGTTGGTAACTGCATATGTTCAAGTTGAATTATCTATTACAAAATGTTAATCCTTACTGTGAACATTCATATTTCATACGAGATAACTACTTTCTGAACTAAATTGGCTGTGCTGAATATTAATATTGGCGGGTTTGGGGGACTTAAGGCTTACTTCTTCTCTGTACAGGCAACTGTGCGTAACAGCTAGCTTCAGTTGTGCCCCTGCATGCTTTTTGCTTGCATTTATGCTGAAGTTTAAATCTTGTCTTTGGCTACACTCTATGCAAGAAATTACAAGATTAAGGCCCCAGTGGGCAGTATGAACAGACATTTTGTCTATCAGCTAAAGCTCAAGGTGGCTAAAACAGAGCTCTCAGTCTTCTCTACAAGCCTTCCTTGCTGCATCCTTTTTTGATCATTGTGGACAATATCATCTTCTGGCCTGTCGCGGAGACCCAGAACCTGTGTGTCCACTCCAGCCTCGCTCGAGGTCCTCACATCAAGGCTATGGGTAAACCTTGTCGATTCTTTCTGAATACTTTCTTTAAAATATGGGGTTTATTTCCTGTCAGTTCTCACATTTAAAATTCATGTTACAGCTTGATCACTGAAGTTTCTTTTTCTTCATTCTAACAAAATACAGTCTTTCCTTGTTCATATCTACTAAGAATAGATTGTTTTCCCCTCCCAAAGCTTTGGCATGATATTACGCTTTTTCATCCGCTTTCTTCTCTGCTGCATCAAATACTTCTGTATGTTCTCTCCACTTTGTTAGCCTCTTCCTACCCTACCTATCAGCTCACATGTGCTATCCAGGTCTGAGTTGTCACCTCTACTTATGCTGACATTCCTACTTTCTAGATTATCAAATGCTCCTTTTTATGCTTTTTCCAATACTCTTATTCATGAAGTGTCCTGTAAGGTATCTGTAAAATTAACTTATCCTTCTTTAAGACATTTTGTGACATTTTCCTTTTCTGCATAATTTTAATAAGTAACTGCAACAAATATGATTAGATTGTGTATTGCTGACACAGTGGTCACTTAGTCACTCTATATCTTGCCCAAAGTATAGTTTCAGTCATCTTTAGCCAATGTAATACCACACTATTTCCAAAAAGATGTGGTCCTGCCCCTAGGTGCGTGTTCCTGCTACCACCATGGTGTTGGGATTCCTGACCATGTAGCTACGTGGCAATCTGGATCAACTGAAAACTGACCATGACCAAAAAAAAAATTAAATAAATGTTGCTTTCAGCTGGATCCGTGATCTATTTTGTTTGGTTGTGGTGCTGATACAAGGGAGATGGTTGGAACGTGTTGCCCCTTTTGGCCTTGGTAGAGCTCTAAATTGGCTTAAGCAAAGCATGAAACTGCACCTGTATGTACAACGTAAGTTATTTAAGGAAAGAATCATCTCTTTGTGTCATGTTTGCAGTGCCTGTGGCTCCTGGCCCTCTAATACTACTAATGTACCCCAGTTAAAATATTAAATGGATTTTCTGATTGAGATCTTGCTTGTCTAGTGTGATAAATGCTTCTTTTCGATGTATATTAAACTTTAGTGTGTTCTGTTTTCATTACAGGTCCATTCCCTGTAGTCAGTTTGATGGTGGGATCTGTTGTATTGAGCATGGCCCCTGATGATAATTTTCTCATAGACGGCAGTAATGCAACAGGGACTAATGGTACTGGAACACTGATAGACATTGAATCCAGAGATGCACAGAGAGTGCTGATTGCTAGTACCCTCACATTTCTGGTTGGAATTTTACAGGTAAAATAGTTGGCTTGAAGACACAAGGTTGATACTGCTTTAATTTTAATGGGAAAACATATGGCATGGAAATACCTACTAGGGCAGTAAGACAGTTTCCTGCAGTCAAATACAAAAATGAAGGAAAGTCATCTCAAACTCTGAAGAGCTTTTGAGGGATTATTCTTCTTATCCTGGGCAGAGTCTGTGGCAGTGTGACTGGGAGTGCAGACAACAGAAGAATAGCCCTGTGATTGCAGACCAAGAGAGCTGCATGTGCTCATGGTGCATATCCTGGAGCATCCTTTCACCCGTTTCTTCAGCTCTCCTTTATTTCCTTGGATGGCACGATATTAAGCTACACTAGGCTGCAATGGGGGAAGATGGTCCTAAGACTCTGCATCAACAAAGAGAAAAGAACAAAGCATAAGAAATCACCAAATAAAAGTGTAGCTTTTTTTTTGTTTAGCAAGCTGTTATTCTTCATTATTTTTCCAGGTAATATTTGGAGTCCTTCAGATTGGTTTCATTGTGAGGTACCTTGCAGATCCACTGGTTGGGGGATTCACAACTGCAGCTGCTTTTCAAGTGCTTGTGTCACAATTGAAAATAGTCCTAAATGTTTCAACTAAAAACTATAATGGTGTCCTTTCCATAATATACGTAAGTATGCCCTTCTAACCTGTTTTGGGTTTATGCTAGAATTTTTACATAATTGTTTATCTTCTGCTTCCTTTTCATACAGGAATGGTTCATATATATGGTGGGGAGTATAGGGCATTCATTTAGTTCTCACTCTCACGAAGATCTGCAGCTGTTCATTTATAGCTGTGGGGCTCTAAGTAGCTGCTTTCGGGGTTCCCCAGACAGAAAGTCTAATTGCCATCTTGAACTCTTTTTGAGGCAGAGCAGTTTTTCACATAAAGTTTAAACGTAATTACCCAGCAAAGCAGTTCTTCTTCTCTAGGTTGTCACTTTCGGAGACTACTTTCTGTCCTACCCCTTGCTTTCTGGCTAATTGTGAAGGATGTTTCATCATTTCTTAACATCATCAGGTCATCTCCCACAGCTGACCAATCCCAAGCCTCCTTACTCTCAAACCAGCAGGTCATTCTGGTAGAGGGCATCGTTCTGCATGGCACACTGTAGCCATACTTGTGAATACCTAAAGAAGGATGTGGATTCCCACCCTGCGGCCAGGTACCTACTGGTTAGCTAAGCTGAGGCTAAATGTTCCTGTCGCAACTCCATTTGTTGATCTTAGAGAAAATGATCAAATGGAGAAATGTCTTGGCTGGATTACAGAAATACTGAACTCCTAGAGGTCTCACATTACGGAATTGTCTCCTTCCCCAAGAAAATTATTGAGAGTTTTGTCACTGACTTAAGCATGAAACTATTCAGGTTCATAGTATTTAGATCTTCCATAGCACTTCACATTAGAATAACAGATTTCTAAAAGAGGCTGTTCTAGACAAAAAAATGTATTTACAGATTTTACAAGCCAGTTCAGGCAAACAGACTAGCAAAAATACATTAGACATCTAGATTAACAACAATAGGATGAATATAACTACAAACAGCAAGGTAAAATTTAGAAAAAAATCTGGTGGACTATTTAAAAAAAAAAAAAAGTACTATGTTATGGGCCTTTTCAGAGTTAATGAAAACTTTTTCCCTCAGAACAAGGAAAATTAGATGAGACAAAGTACTATCTAATAGACCTTAGAGCAGACCAGGCAGGGTGATCCACCAGGTTTTTCTATCTCTATTTTTTATGTTTATTGAAGAGTGGTGCATTTAGTAGAAAGTATTTTTGAAAAGGAACTGCATGGTTCTTCCAGCTCCTGCAAGCCTGAGTGGAATGTTGACTTTTTAGGTTAAAGCTCAAAGCTTCTGTGTTCTTACAGGTGAGCCAAGTCAATGTGTTTGCGGATGCGTGTAGGGCAAAGAAATTGTGATTTCTGGTGTGCTCAACCAGTGACTTGCTGTGTCAGCTTCAGCAAGTTTTGGACTTGCTTCAGAAGTGGTGTTTAACAAACTGCATCACTAAGCATCCAACAGCAGCAGAATCCACAACCCAAAGCCGGGAAGCTACTGTTCCCCTGTGAAGTGGGGCAGTGCGAGAGATGGTCAGTAAGAATGGGATCCGTGGTCAGCAGTACAGCGGGCAAGAAATGGCTTCAGTCACCTGAAGAAAGGCATCTATTTCAGTATTTCAGGAAAGCTGCTTCTTTAGCTTAGAAAACATAGCTGATTAAGCACTTAGACGTTTTATTTCAAAACCAGAGTCTTTGCAGAATGGTGGTAGTAGTACTGCTGCTGCAACCCTCCCCTTGCCTTTAAACTGACAGCTCAGTATTTGGGGAGCTAACCAGGATGCAAGAAGTCTGTTTCTAACCCCTTTTTTACCAGATTATTCTGTTAAAGCTGTTTCACTATGCATGGAATAATTAAATTTTCTTGGAGACAGGGGCAAGCGAGAATTGCTCTGATGCCTAGGTAGAGGACAGAGGAATATTTGTAGCTTTTCTGTAATCAACCCTTCATGTCTTCTCTGCACACTTGTTTGCAATAAACAATAGGACCAAGCAAGGGCATAGCAAGGGTAGAGAAGGGAGCTGCCTGTTGCAGCCCAGTTGTGAGAGTTCTCCAGCCTGGGACTGAACTCTGCTGGAAGGGTTAATGTACCATAAGGTAAACCATTAATCTCAAGTGTAGGATTCTCCATAGCCTGGCAGGACCCACACATTCATACTCATTCTCTGGATGTCAACAGTGGAAATAGGAAACATGTAATCCACAGACCATATGTACTGGGCACGTAGTGAACCGGAGTTTTGCCCATGGGTCTGCTAGCTGTCTTTTGAATAGAAAAATTAGGATCTCCCTTGCTATTCAGACAAAGTGAAGAAGCTATAGATCTTCCCTTCCTTGCTCCAAGAACAGGCAGAGATAAAACACAGGTAGGGGTTTAGCTCTTCTTACTTAGTATTAATTTCCTAAAAATAGGGAAGCAGAAGCTCCCTGTGTGGACAATTCTTGCAGCTATGCTTTTTCAGTTAAATTCACCATTAAATCCACTCACTGATTCTGTAGTACCTTGACAGTAAGTTTCCCTCAGGCTCCTCCAGGCCTGAACAAAGAAGTGATTCAGCCTCCTCCAAAACCCCATGCATCTGGATCTTCTAATGAGTATTTTCATACTCATATCGGCATGTTTTATGTTATTTTTATTTTTCAGACTCTTATTGAAACATTTGAAAAAATTGGTACCACCAACACTGCAGATCTTATTGCTGGACTCCTCACCATTTTTGTCTGCATGGTAGTTAAAGAAATAAACGATCGGTTCAAACACAGGATACCAATACCTATACCAATAGAAGTTATTGTGGTAAGCAAAGGAGCATAACAAAAACTGATAACAGATAAAATAGACGGGGCTAGCTACAGGAAGACAAGAACCCTTTTTAAGTATTAAAACTGTTGTTTTATTTTATTACAGACAATAGTAGCCACTGGCATTTCATATGCTGCCGACTTGGAAAAAAAATACAATGCAGGCATTGTTAAAAGCATTCCAAGAGGGTGAGTGCCTTTGTTTTCTGGGAAATAGGTATTATTTTAATTGGCTAAAAATGACAGTGGTAAGAGAAAAGACATAAAAGAGATATGGAGAGCTGTAACCTGAGTTTAGAACTCAGAGCTGGAGATTTCCTGAGTTTTACTTCTGGCTCTGTCAATTATGCCACCTAAATATGTTGCCTAGCGTTCTTTCATCTGTAAAATGGGCTTAGGAATGTCTACCTGATTCATGAAGTTCATCTGAGAATTAAGTGCTTCATGCTCATGAAGTGAATATACGACTATGGAAAATGTAAAAAAAAAAATAATTAAAGGATTTCTAATAATGAAATTCTGCATAGATTTAATTTCTGTCGACCTGAGTTATCTCACCATGGTTCATATTCATGCCACTACTGTTGTCGCAATTAATCTTGTCACTTCCATAGTCATAGGAGCAAGGATGTTCAGGATTACACTGGTAGAGACTTTCACTTGAAAGATTCAGAGCACTTCACAGTAGTAACCTTCACATTCCATTTGGTATTCAGAGCTTAATTAATTAAAATTTGTGGAAACACAGTAGGGGATAAAATGTTTTTGAGATCTTCTGAAGAAGTATGTTAACAATAGTATGAAGTGTCATTAACATATTTATGTAATTCATCATACTATTCAATACATCCTTTATTCAATGCTTCAAAAAATGTACTTTTTCACTTTGCTATCATAAGGCCAAATCTCAGTCATGCTGAGAACAATGGGAGCTTTGTTGCTGACTAATAGCATCAGGATTTGGGCTGTGGTGAGCTAGATAAGCGTGTTCTGTATGTCAATGGGCTGTTTCCACCTTTTTATTAACTTGCAACATTACACTTCATATTACAAGCAACCAGTATGCCTCCGCCTCAAACTCCTTGACAATTCCAGTAAGAACAGAATCTGATCAAAGTTGATAACACTAATATATTTTCTAAATGCTAGATTTTTGCCTCCCGAACCTCCAGATGTCAGCCTGTTTTCCCAGATGATAGCAGCCTCCTTTTCCATTGCTATTGTTGCTTATGCTATTGCTGTATCTGTGGGAAAAGTATATGCAACCAAGTATGACTATGCTATTGATGGAAACCAGGTATGTATATCCAAAATTGTTTATGAACATAGTGAATTTCGGTTCTGTTTCATGTTGACTTATGTAGCCAAATGAAAGAAACATCATTCACACACTAAAGTTTAACTAAAGTTAAAGTCTGACAGGAGAAATTCTTTCAACTATTAGCTGAAATATAGCTGAAAAATAGCTGAAATGGCCATATATTACCTGACAAATTTACCACATAGAGATGAGCCAGATATGCTCTATCTTCAGTATGGGCTTTTCATACTAATTAATTCCTTCTGTATTGCTTTAGTGACTGCAGTAGCTCTGAAAAGGTAATTAAAACTAAGCACGGTATAGGGCAATTTTCTGGTGATGTCAAGTTGACATGGCCAGCTTTAGCAACCTGCTTTCCATTTCTACTCGTAAGGCATGTTTTGAGGTGTGTTGCTGGGAGGGGGAGGAAGACCATGTCAAGCTAAGGAGCTGCTCCAGACAGCTTTATTTAGGCTTAGTCTACATGCAGGATTTGTATCAGTTAAGGCATGATTTTATTCCTACAGAATAAATTATTGTACTTCTCAGCATGACACCAGTTACATCAATATAAATATACTTGTAACTGTATAGCTAAGTCCTGCAGCTTCACAAAAGTAAATGTCTACCAGCATATGAACATACTTGAATAACTGTCTGCACCAAATGGCTGAATTGTTTTAACCATTGGTTTCTAAAAGCACATAGCTAGAATGTTACGTGAGCTATACATTGACAAGCTCTTGGAGGATTCCTGCAGTTGTTCAGTGTCTTCACCAGGGGTTATGTGGCTTGCCCATGGGCGTGGGAGAAAAATGTCAGAAAGCTTCCTTGTCCTGCATCTATGCTAATTTTGAATTTTATCCTTTGAACATATGACAAAATACACTCACTACAATAAACAGATAAGCTGAGTACTTTGTTTAACGACTCCTGCTTTATTTTAGTGCTAATGGATTGCATAAAGCTTGATTTTGGAAACACTGTTTTGCAGTATGTAACAAAACTATACTTCTGGACATGCTGGTCACCTTACCATACACAAAGTCCATATTTGGTAACACCTTGATTTAAAGTTGCCTAACATGCACTGACTTTCAGTTTAATAAGCCTGAATGAATAATACATATTCCTGGAAGTGCTTTTTATGCTGTTCTTTTGTTGAATATGCTGTTCTGCCAGCACGGATGTGCTTCGAAGATACTAATTAAATATTGTAGTAGTAGAATTACTGTCTGTAAAAGCAAGCTGCCTTCCTTTCAATACTATGCTATGAATTTTACACATGCAGCCGTGAATGATGGGCCAATAGCTTACCTGAACTGGAGAAGTTAAAATAACATCATAAAAGCAGGTAGTAAAATAATTTTGAAGGACAGGTCAATACTATTATCTGCTTATGTTTATTTTGTCTTCATAGATTCATAGATTATTAAGACCTAAGAACATTGGGAACTATACTTCCAACATTTTCTTGCAGAGCACAGCTGTCACACAGGAATAGGCATGAATCATCTAGGTCTGTTCTGTTAAAGAACATCACTTTCAAATCTTGCTCTTGTAGTTGGAGCTTAATGAAAAACTTACAGGAAATTTCATTGTGGAGAAAAGAAGGGAGAGAGTCAAAATCAAATCCCAAAGTATATTTTTAAAAATTTGCAGTGACTGAAAAGCTCTTGTGACTGTGTCAGCTTGGTGAAAACAATGTTTCTGTCAATTATATGGGGTTGCAGGCAGCTCCTAAATGCCTCATTTCCCAGCAGAGGAATGGCCCAGATCCCAGGACATAAAGCTCCCGGGGTCCTTGTCACTTGAGCAGAACAACCAGCATCAGTAGGCGCCAGCATCTGTGACCCTGGGGCAAATCTATGAGAACGCTGCCTGGGACTCAGCGTGAGTTCATTGGGATGTTCAGAGCGAAAAACTTCTGGCTCAACAAACTAGAAGTTTTCAGTGAAACTGTGTTTTATTGCAAAGTTCCTGATTAGTTCTACTAATAATACAATGCTTTGCATTAATTAAAGGCTTGTCTAAACTCAGACTGTTGTACTGATTGAAATTATTTGTTTAGCCAATGATACTTGGGAGTTAAATTTATACTAGTCCCATTTGTTGATGCAATTATACCAGTGTAATTGTTAGAAATGTTAGGTTTGATAACATTGATGGAAATAAGCTTTAAACATCTTTATACTAAGACGAGTATGTCCATGTTAGGGAAGGTCTACCAACTTCCTTGTATTGATTTCCAAACACAAGTAGTTACACTGGCACAAGAAGAATTTGTGTAAACATTTAATAGCTATTACTAATCCATACTCTTCTCACTGTTATTGTGCTACCTACTTTATAAACTACTGTAGAAGCTATTGTCATTCTCCATTGCAAAATTGTATTCAGGCATCTGTATTTACAACGTCATCCAATTATCTTTCAGGAGTTTATTGCCTTCGGGCTCAGCAACATTTTTTCAGGTGCCTTTTCTTGTTTTGTTGCAACTACTGCTCTTTCACGCACCGCAGTCCAAGAAAGTACTGGTGGAAAGACTCAGGTAATGACCTCTTCTTACTAGTACTCTGCATGGGTAAATTTAATCTTATGTAGGGCACAGCTTTCACAATGGGATGAAAATAGTCCTAAAATGATTGTGTTGCTGGCACATGGAAAGCCACAGGTATCTTAGCTAGCAGCTTGTGCTCTGGTAGTGAATCATTTTTGTAGCTCTGCCAGAAGAGGGCAATCAAGTTTTACATAGCATGAGTTACATTAGGGGTCAGAAATCCTTCAAGCCTAATTCCCCAGAATTTCATTCCCAATTAAGGGACAGAGTTTGTCCCAGTAGGAATTCAGGATGAGGGAGGAACTCCTCTCGCAGCTGCCTATGAGGTATGTGAGCTCCCATCTGCTGGCCTGAGCAGCCCTACCATATGCCATTCATCATCTGCCCATGTTCCATCTTTCTCATGTGGAGTATGCTACTCTGTTTTACAGTACTACAGCTTTGCACTTTTCAACAGTGGACAACTACAGGTTATCCAGCAGCCCCATTTCTGGCTGACACACAGACTCTGCTCCTTTCATCTCTCCATGCAATGTAACCCCTCCAAGAGCTACTACCTTGCGTGCAGTTGTTTACACTACCTGCTTAACTGAACTCCCTCTGCGTTAGCTGAAGTGTATAATGATTGCCCACGTATGCCTAAACGTAATGGCATTTTGGCAGGTCTCCTTGTTCCTAAAGAAATGTAATGTGCAACTACTTTTACATTTTTCTTTGTAATCCTAGAAACATAAGATGAAGTCTTAATAAGTTCATTTCCTATAAACACTCTGTTCTTCGCAGGTTGCTGGTATAATCTCAGCTGGGATTGTTTTGATTTCCATCGTTGCCCTGGGGAAATTGCTAGAGCCCTTACAAAAGGTACCGTACTTGTCCTCTGCAGCGCTGCCACCAGCACCTATCAGACCCAAATGCTCAACTTTGACAGGCAGGATTAATAGCCCTGTTTAAACTATGGTGACTGATACCAGAAGAGGCTCTGGTTTGTAGTGTATAATGTTGAGCACTATCTTAATATGCATCTTTGCATCTGAATAACACTTTTTCATCATTTTTCTTCACAGTCTGTGTTGGCAGCTGTAGTCATAGCTAACTTGAAAGGGATGTTCATGCAAGTGTTTGATGTTCCCCGTCTGTGGAGACAGAATAAAGTGGATGCTGTAAGTAACCTAATTTTTTCTTTTCTCCTGAATGTCTTTGGCTGGTTTTCTTTTTGCCTTTTAATGCCATCCAAGTTTCTCTTAACTACCACATAAACAGAATTTTGTAGAGTTAACATCAGAAAACTTCTATGTGTGTCCTCAAAACGCAAGTGCCATGAGGTCAGTGAAAAATTCCCCGTTTTAGAGTTTTACATAGTGTTCTGCTTATCTTCTTTATTCCCTGTACCCCACAGTGAGGGTGCCAGTCAGGGTATTCCTGTGCAGTGATGACTCCTTCGTAGCAATTATCATAGTTTACAGCAATCTTGTGTTGAGATGGCTTAAAAATCAGAATAAAGATGGCCTGCTGCCACCTTTACCATTCTGCTTTTATCATTTGCACAGTTTAAATGGGTCAGAAAAGCTGACCTTTTCTTAATTCATGTACATATATTTATGTTGTTACCACATTAGCATCCCATTTGCCTGGATAATCTCAGGTAGCCCTCAGAAAATATGTTTTCTTGTTGTAGCAAGACTAATGCAAGCTAGAATGTGGATTCATTTGACATGCTAAGGGTTATATGAACAGGCTTTTCTTACGAACCACTATAACCATATCTCAGGGTACTTGCTCACATCTCCTGCTGTTTTCTGTGGATCAGACGTTCAGTGTGGCTGTTAGGGCAGGAAAAGATTGCATGGAAAGTATTTTCTCCACGCAGTCCTTACTATGCATAGATTTTACAGTGTTTGTCAATGGGCACTACCTGCCTTAAGCAGATCTGAAATTTTTCAGTCAATCATTTACTAGTCCTCTTTATAGGTAAAAGATCCCACTGACTTCAGTGAGAAGTGCGGGCACTCAGCTTTTTGTATGATTGGGTCCACTCGGTGTTCTGCCTGGGCAGTGATGTAGAGAGGAACTGAGGAGCCCACTTCAACTGTTCTGCCTGAATATTCAGTGGAGACTTTAGAGAGTGCCATCAACCTGTTAATATGAAATACCTCTCTTTGGAACAGTTTTGATTCTTAGATATCACTGAGGAGCCCCCTTCCCTCTCTATATGTCTGCAGGTGGGCATCTTACACTATTTTACATCTTGGGAAAATAAATTCTTTCCAATTTCTAAAGGAAGATTAACAAAGACTGCCACCATTAGAAAGAAGAAAATGCAATGGTTAACTGCATCCCCTTTAATTTCACCAAAGTAACTGGATCCTTGAAAAATGTTATGTTAAAAAAACTTTCCTAAAAAGCTAACTGTGCCTGACAAGATAGTGATGGATAGAAGCATCTTGGAGGAAGAGGAAGATTTTGTATGGAAGTCAACTAATTGCCAGTGTGCTATGATCACCTCCAAAGTTAAATCCTTCTGCTACTCATATTGTCTGGTCTAGTGATTCTTTAGCATGACCAGGAGTTATATGTGATAATTAAGAGACTTTACATTTGTTATTTCCTCTCCAGATGATCTGGGTTTTTACATGTGTAGCATCCATCATTCTGGGACTTGATTTGGGATTACTTGCTGGCCTTTTGTTTGGATTGCTGACAGTTGTGCTGAGAGTTCAGTTGTAAGTAACACAGGATCAGAAATAATTGTTAGAGTTATAACATGAAAAAGGAAGACAATATGCCGAAAAGCAAGATGTTTTGTGGCAGAAAATCTGCTTGGGTTTACAAAAATTTTGAAATGGAAAAAATCTGTTCTTTAGAACAAAACATTGTGTGCTATCATTTAATTACACTGATAAAGGAGAAGCTGCATTATTTTATCAGTATTTATTCTATATCATGTTGGGTACTCTGGTGGTACTTAGCCATATGTTATTTATCATAGAATCATCACAGAATCATAGAATAGTTTGGGTTGGAAGGGACCTTTAAAGGTCATCTAGTCCATCCCCCCTGCAATAAGCAGGGACATCTTCAACTAGATCAGGTTGCTCAGAGCCCCATCCAGCCTGGCCTTGAATGTTTCCAGGGACGGGGCATCTACCACCTCTCTGGGAAAACCTGTTCCAGTGTTTCACCACCCTCGTCCTAAAAAATTTCTTCCTTATATCTAATCTAAATCTACCCTCTTTCAGTTTAAAACTATTACCCCTTGTCCTATTGCTACAGGCTCTACTAAAAAGTCTGTCCCTGTCTTTCTTATAAGCCCCCTTTATGTGTTGAAAGGCCACAACAAGATCTGCTTGGAACCTTCTCTTCTCCAGGCTGAACAACCCCAACTCTCTCAGCCTTTCCTCATAGGAGAGGTGTTCCAGCCCTCTGATCATTTTTGTGGCCCTCCTCTGGACCCGCTCCAACAGGTCCATGTCCCTCCTGTGCCTAGGACTCCAGAGCTGGACGCAGTACTCCATCAGTACTTTATGTACCCACATAGCTGAGTTCTGGAAAGGAATAGGAACATTACAGATCAAATATAAAAAGATGCATGAATGACTTCTGTAATTAATTCATCATTATAGTAACTCTTAGCATGTCATACTACTACAGTATGTTGCACATGCCAATAACCTTTTCACTTATTGCATATATAAGACTGACTGTATACCTGTGAAACAAGAGGAAGAAAAAGCATGAGAATAAGACAAAATTTTGTGCTTGTGCCTGATTTGTTGCTGCTCAGAGAACATATGGTAGTGGAATGGTGAGAAAAAGTGGCTTTGCAGAATCTTCTTTGGCCATCTTCTTACTTTTCATGAATCTTTTATCTGAAAATACAACATAACTCCTTTCCTTCAGCCTGGAGTTCAGAGGGTATGGTTACTAGCAGTACCAAAGGATAGTTGCACTGTCGGCAAATGCATAAAAATAAAGCCTTGCAGAAGTTGTTACAGAATAGTAGATTATAAAAAATGGAATTTGAAGAGCCTCAAAAAACATTCCCAAATGCAACTCATAAAAGGGAGGTGAGGCTTTATAAACTTTACAAACAAAAAAATGTGCTTCAACTGTTAAAAAGGTATCTGGAGACTGCAAAATAATTTGGTTTTGTTATTGACTGAAATCAAAATTAAAAGGGTTGGACAAAAAGTTTTAAGTAATCTGAAAAGAATGTAAATGTATTGTTTCAGTTGCTTTGAAAGGAAAAAAGTGATCAATTTTTTTTCAGAGTCAAAAAATTTTTTGTTCATTCGAACGAAACTAAGCTGCTTTTAAAACATTTTTCTGGTTTGGGAAACAAACGGAACAAGTTTTTCATTCAGCTCTACATAAAAATGGTGCAGCAAGTAGGCTGAGACCACAGTACCTTGTCTTTAAAAAGGACCATACACTACAAATCGGAAAAAGACCCTTGCACAGTGACACAAACGAAGATACAACACTTTTCCAATGTGGTTATTAGTCTGGCAGAAGACAGCAGACTACAAGAGTCTATGACAGTTTGTATGCAGCAGTCCCTTCAGTTCTGTGAATGCCTAAGTATGATGTTTACCTTCACTGTCTTTTCTTTTTGTTTCTATTAGTCCGTCATGGGGTGGCTTTGGAAACATCCCTGGCACAGACATCTACAAGAAGGTCAAGGACTACAAAAATGTAAGTCATTGCTGAGTTGTTTCCCTTCAGTCTACAAGCCAGTGTAAGACAAAGTTGTGCCTTGCATATTGTGGACAACTTGAATTTGGAAGTGGAGTGCTCGAAGATAACAAGTTTCAGCTTTAAATTCTTCATCTTAATCCAGATGGTTGGTCCATATTGCACACTGGGGCTGTAAGCTTCTAAAAAATGAATCACCTCAATTATCAGCAAAGAGAGGCCATTTTTTTGTGAATTAGATACATAGTTGAACTGTTGAAACAGTTAAACTGCTTCATATTAGCCAAAATATGGTGGTTGCTGCTTAACCTTACATTCTTTGGCAACAGGTTATAGAACCAGAAGGTGTGAAGATTCTCAAGTTTTCAAGTCCAATTTTTTATGCTAACATCGATGGACTGAAAAGCAGCCTAAAATCCACAGTAAGTGATATGTGATGGTTCTGGATGCTTCTTAACTGTCTTTGAGATTTCCTCAGAATTATATCTAGGTAAAATTAAATAATTTTGATGTCTTGATCTTTTTTCTGTAGGTGGGATTTGATGCAGTCAAGGTGTATAATAAGAGACTCAAAGCACTGAGGAAGATACAAAAGCTAATCAAGAAGGGGAAATTAAAAGCTACTAAGGTAAAACAAATCTTTTTCTTTCTATTTTTTCTCAAAGGATTACTGTTAGAGCTTATTACTTTAGCCTTAATTATGACTTCCTCTGTACTCATCTTTAAAATAAAGATGGAAAAGTGTGACTTATTACCATGGTAGGAAGCCTGGGACCTGCAGGAGACTTAGCAGAGCAGTACACCTATTCCCGAAGACCCCACAGATTCAGGCAGCTGTGACAGTCGTAGTGTTAACAGGAGTGGAAGCAAGAGATTCCCTGACCATACCTCTACCCCTCACCACCTCAGATTGTCTCTGTGCAGTAAAAGTGCTGGCTCTTTCATGTGCACATGCTCCTGTCATCCAGCTTCCTATGCACAGGTGAGCTGTATCAGTTGGCTGGTAGACGTAGCCTTCCACGTCCTCTTTAAAGAAAGCAGCACCTGTTCCTCTGAGTATGAAATTAACATTTCAATAAAATGCTTACATTTAATTAAACGGGTACAGGCAACCTATTAAATCTCCAGAGCTGGAAGTTAGAAATGGATTTTCTGTTGTCATTGCTCTCAGTGCAGGATGCAGTATTTCCTGTATATATGACAATTTATGATGCAGTTAAATGCTCAGTTATGTGACATACCAGCTTTTGACACAGTCATTTTACCATGTTATCATATATAGTAAATCTAATTCAAAGCCGAAAATACTGGTCCTAAATATCTCCTAAAAATAAAGCTATCAAGGGAGGGAGTAGCTCTGAGGTATTTATTTTTCTGGATAGTGGCCTTTTTGCAGGAAGGTGGTCTTTTAAAAGAGAAAAAAGAGAAAAGGAAATACACTGCACAGAGGAGGAGGTAATTATGTGCTCTGTCTTGTTTTTCTTTAAATTCTTGGATGCAGTTTTGTCACCCGACACTAAGGGGACAGACAGGTTCTTTTACGGATCCTTGGCAGAATGACAACGGCACTAAATTGTAGTTGCAATTAAAGCTTTATTTTTCTTAACAGGATTTTGTGATTAGTATAGCACAGAATTTATGATTAGAATGGCACAGTATTTCTACAAACAGAACCAATGTAGTACAATTTATAAGTAGCGTAATACAGAATTTATAATACAACTTAACTTATAGTTTCTAATCACCTAGACCCTCTGCAGATTGGGTCAGATCTTAATATATAACCATCACAATCTAGACTCAAAAATCATATAAAAGATGACGAGTCACTCACCCGGTCCTTGGAGGAAGCCGATGACAGTGGGGGCATCCCTGGCCACCGGTGGGTCACAGGTCTCACTGTCCAGCAGCAGTTCCAGTCCAAATTTCCCACTTAGGACTTCTAACTGCTTGATTTTATAGACAGTGCTCTGTGCGCTGTCACGCTTCCCTGTTCTGTGATGGGGTCATCAACATCACCTGGTTGGCCTGGTGCCTGGCAAGGAAGGGAGTAATCAGCCTGGCGCCCAGGAATCTTGAGGCTGGTAGGGAGGGGAAGAAGAAATCTGGTTTGTCTGCTTGGTTCACAGGACCTTCAAGGCCTGAGAATGAGGGGAAAGGGAATGAACACGTGACCTGCTCGGTCACAGAGAATGGCTGCTTGCCTTACAAAATGGCGTTAGTTATGCTAACTACATTACCAGGGGTCGGGAGCAGGGGGTACTGGTCACAAGTACTGGTCATCTTCATTCCTGAAACAGAAGTCATCACAGGGAAGTATTTCCCATAACTCCAAAACTTTCTCCATGATTAAATGCTGTATTTCATGTATTATCTGCACATTAGAATGGCATCATCAGTGAGCCTGGTATTAATAATGAAGCTTTTGAGACTGATGAGGAACCCGAAGACAACGAAGATCTTCAAGTTCCCACCAAAGAAGTAGAGATCCAGGTGGACTGGAATTCAGAACTCCCAGTCAAAGTAAACATCCCCAAGGTGCCCATCCACAGTCTCATTCTTGATTTTGGAGCAGTAACCTTCTTGGATATTGTAGCTGTGAGATCAATAAAAACGGTAAGGGCATTTTTTTCTGGTGTTCCATGAAGATGAAACTAGTCAGTGGTATGTAAATCAAGAGCTGTTAGCTGAAGTTAATTTCTGTGTTTTTAGAAGTCTGTTGTTGAAAAATACCTTTAAAATGTATAGAGCAAGAGGTAGACTATTGGGGTGTGCATATTTTAGGTGGAAAAGAAATTTAAAAATGCATTAAAAGAACAATATGAAGGTTGCATGGTCAAATACTCTAAAAATAGAACTGCAATATGTGGTCCCATTGTATGTGTATGTTATGAGATATTTTAGTTATATATTTTCTTTCCACATGCCTCCTGCTTTAATCTGGGCACAGGATGATGCTCACTCAACGAAGAGGTAGTAAAAATTTCGTCTTACCATCACTTCAGTCTTTAGCCACAAGATTTATTTATTCATTCTATATTACTTACATTATGAAGGAAGGAAGAATGATTCATTTCTTTATAGCGTTTTCTGTGGCTAATATCAGAGCACTTCATCAACATTCATTAATTCCTCTTCAAACATCACACTGCGTAATAAGGAGATAATACTCCTAGTTTAGGGAGAGGGAAATGAGGTGAAGACATTAAGGCCAAGTGTTTCCATCGTTTTTCGATGCCCGGTTACAAGTATGTATGACCAGATTGTTCAGTCTTTAATGATACTTTGTATGTTCAGATTGCTGCTTTCACTAACTTAATTTTGCAGTTGGGACTGCTTAGCCTATCTATAAACCAGATCTTAGACTACCAATATTCTAGTTTATCAATGAACAGAAGGGGATGGAATTAGCAATCACCTCTGAAGATACTATTCTAAGAGACTTGCCTGCCACCAGGGAGCCAGGGCTACAATCCAGTCTCCCACCTTTTAACTAAAATTCAAGAATGCAGTGTGCCTTGCTTCATCCTTCTGCCTAGTTTTGATTCAGTTCTGGCTTCTGAGACAAAAAAGATATGGGGTCCACAGGCATGACTCTTTCCATATGCAGCTTTTTCATCCAAGAACAGGTCCGTCTGGTGCACTGCAAGAGGGAAAAATCTGTGCAAAAAAATTTGCACGTGCCAGTGAAAGATTGTATCACATCACACGCACATGGGGAGAAATAATGCTTGCTCAGGCCCATGTGGTTCTCACTTGAAGAGACGTGATTATTCATATTATGAGAACAGAATGAGAACCTTAATGGGCAGCAATGTATGTATGTGTAAAATTGATAGTTCCACTTACATAGTCGAAGATAGGCCCCTTCAGCAACCAGGCACTTAACTACTGGATCTTTAAGTATAGCAAAGTATAGCAGTTCCTTGTTTATGATGGATAAACAAAACATACAATTTGGAATGAAGACACTCAGAAACAAATGAAGTGTGCGTGTGCGCACCTATACATTACATATATAGACGTATATAAAAATATGTATATTCTCCTTACAGACTTTATTTATTTATGTCCTTGTTGCAAACTTTTATTTTTTTAGATAATTAGAGAGTTTGAGAGAATTGATGTGAGAGTATACTTTGCTTCATATCAAGGTAAACATCCAAATATTTCTACTACCTCTCGTGCAAAGAATAAAATGAAGATGAGAAGGGATGAGAAGGGATCTCTAGATGTGTCTGTGGGAGCATTTGTTCTAACAAAAATGTGAATTATCACACTGATAAACATGGTGGGCTGCAGTGGGACACAAAGAATGGTGGGGTTTAAAGGAAATGTCAAAGACAAAGCTATGATTGATTGATTTGGCTGTACATTTGATTTCCGATAGTTGCAACCATGTATTTTGACATTTATTTCTTAAATTACTTCAAATTTTGTTAACCTGTTATGACTTTCTTTTATTCAGACAACCTTATATCTCAACTGGAACGGACTGACTTCTTTGACGATATTGTCAGAAAAGACATATTCTTCTTGACTGTCCATGATGCTGTGCTCTACATAAGGAATCAAATGACATACAGTGACAACCAGGATCCCATATTTGAGAAGGTAAGGATATCCAGTAGTATGTTTCCCTGCCTTCTATCATCTAGCATTCATTCTTGCAGTTTCCTTACAGCATGGCACGTTCAAAAACTAGACATAGAGCTGTAGTACAAATAAAGTGAGAGTCTAGTAAATTGGGCAGCTTCTGTAGTACATGAGTATTTTGCTAGATCAAAGGAGGGATCTGTTGACCCCAGGACGTTGTTAGTGAAAAGAACACAGAAAACAGGACATATGGAGAACACTTCATCCTAAGACACAGTTTCTAGTTTCTGACAACTGGCAGCTTAAGAACTTCCTCAGCTGGAGGTTGCATTTGGACCATTATACTTAATCATCACGGATGGATTTTTCTTCGATGTGTCTGTCATACTCCTTTTGGAACCCCTTTACATGTTTTAGCTTGACGCTATCTGTGGAGATGGGTTCTGTAATTTTAAATGCGTTATATGACAAATACTTCCCATTTGTTTTAAGCCTGTTGGATTTCTGGATTGCTAGTTGCAATGAATAATCATTCCCTGTTCCCTTTCGCAACACTATTAATAATTTTATATACCTCTGATCAAAGCTGAAGAGTCCCATTCTACTTGGTGTAAGCGTGCATGGAAGCGGTTCCATGCTAGTGTTCTGCCCTTCTCTGTGCATCTCCTAGATGTATTCTGTGGGTTTTGAGATAACCAGAACACTCTGTAGCGTTTAAAGATGTGGGCCCACATTAGGAAAATGGCCTTATAATCTTCTCCTGTCTTTTCACCACAATTCCTTCCCTAGCAATCACTATTACAGTATTATGAATAAAGAGTAATTAAAATTAATATTACTTATAAACTACTAGGACGGGACCCTTATTTTTTGATAATTTTTGCATACTACTGTCTTATAGTAGAGATTAACATTTTGACAAAGCTATACAGCAGTCTAGAGATAGATTCTGCTTTTATTATTTTTACGAAGCCATAAGTAGCCATATGAGGAGAGGCAAGACCAAAGCTTTTCAACATTTAAGTTCCTCTCAGCTAAACTAAATCAACAGCTTTGTCAAACAACAGCAAACAACAGACTCTTGTAAGTTGTGGAAGTTATCCTAAGGTAGTTCAGAATAATAAATAAATTTCAATGATATGGACAAGGGGTAACTTATCATGTTTCTTATTTTCTTTCCGCCAAGATTTCGCTCATGCAGGAGTCTAAAGAACCTATGGAATTCACAGAAACAAGCCAGCCTGATGATGAACTTGATGTTCAGGAAGAGGTACGCACTTTGGAACTGAATATGTCTATTACTTATAGAATACTGCTGGCTTTATTCCTTTGCCTGCAGCATTGAGTCATGCTGTGAGAGTATGGCGGATGAACTGAGCCCTCAAGAGTTTCCTTCTCCATAAATAAATACCCTCCTTGGGTAAGCACCCGAATGTCAGTGCTTAGTGGAGGAAGTCAAGTTTTTCTTGAGATGTAGTAGATTATATGTGCACAAGCATCCCCTGATCTTTGTCACTTTAGGACTACTTTTGCCTTACACAGGCTTATAAATAGATCTAAACATGAGTTAGGTGCCTAGAAGACTTGGTAAGACTTGAGGCACCTGAGTCCAAAATTATGGTCAACCTCCCTGCTGCATTCCTCCTTTCAACTCAGCAGACACCTTCTTGCACAATCTGAACATTTTACAGGAAGCTGCAGCAAAGCAGTGTACCGAACATAACTAACATGCAACACACAAGTCCATTAAAGCAATACCATGGTATTTTGTATTTACAGAATATTGCCAGAAAATAAAGTAGCACTTACTGCTAAAATAACGGTGCAGCACGCAGGCCACTTATTCAGAAAATGGGAGATTGGGCTGAATGCCCTTTTATAACCTGAGATGGATTAAACTAGTGATGCATCAACACCTTGGAAGGATTACAATACTCCATGTAGGCACAGGCATGATTATTATGTGTCCCTCCTATCATGCTACTGTGGTACTAATCAGAACTCCGTTCTTAATTCCTGATCTAAACGGGGGCAGTGCCCTGTGCTTGGCCTCTCTGCTCTAGCAGCAGGAACGGAAAGGGGCTGGAGGCGTGCTGTGGTCCCTGGAGGCAAGTAGCTACGAGGAGGTTGTGGCTGGGTAGAGGTTCTCAGCATCACCCTGCACTGTAGTTTCTACCATAGCGTGAAGTCCCGTAGGAAAAGGTAAGGTCAGCTTGGAAGGCAGACTGGTGAGGGCAGAAACTGAGACCCTAAGCAAAAGCCTTCATCAGGGCTTGGTAAGTAGACTGTGATACTTGGTACTCCTGATTCACCCCCTCCTTTTTTGGTTGGTATGAATATACCAAGAGACCCAAATATTCTTCTTTATCACTAATATGGGGAGAAGCACCTTCCACTCCACTTCCACAGTGCAGAAAGGAATGAAGGATTAAAAAGGGTAGAAAGACACCAGGATTCTGTAACGGAAGCATTTGGAAATGGCAGGCCAAAAAGACTTGAATTCTGGTTTCTATTCACAGGACTGCTTAGATATTTATATTATTGTCATTAAATAAGAAAAGAAGACAGACACAAAACTACCAATCCAAGGTCAAAGAGTGTTCTGAGAGGTTTCTGTCCTCCACCTTTATAGCCACATTTTGAAGGTGAGAGCTAGTAACCTTCAGACCTGCAGCTTCCTGACTGAATTGTCCGAGGCAGACACAAGTCAGAGGGCAGCTGCCTCAGAACAGTTACTTTCTCTGTACTTTCACTGAGGCCAGGTTGAACTTGGTAGTTCTTCGCTAACGCATACACAAACACTTTATTTTTCCGAGCGGTGTGTACGCAGAACTAACCATGGCCTCTTTCTCTCCACCTTCTGAAAACCATTTCACTAGGCCATGCGCAGACTTGCTTCATGAAGACGGACTGCTGGTACTGTCTTACCTGTGAACTCACAGCAATATTTATGCACCGGTACTATATAAGCATTTTCTGCAATGAAACCAATCTTTGCACTTGAAGACAACCCTGATTTTTTGTCTGAATGATACAGATCTCTAGAAATCTCCAAATTTTAGCTAACGTTATCCCAGAAATATTGGGATAATCTGGACCTTGATTCAGCAAGCACTTTTTGATATTATATATTGGTAAAAAAAATCAGAAGACTGTTACAGAAGATGTACTCAGTTTTCAGACTAGTCAGGCAGAAGGTGCATTACACTATTTTATCAGTGTGTGCAAGATGAAAAGCCGCTTTGTGCTCTGCCCAGGAGAGTTGAAGAGACCAAAATCTTTGGATGGCAGGCCTTTTGTTCTGTATTTGCACAGTGCCTAGCGAGGGGGCAGGAGTTCTAGCTGGCCAAGGCTTTGCAAATCTAGAACATTAGTGGGAGCGTACGTGCTGTCTTGAAAAATGTACTGTGATCATTTTTTCCGAGCAATTCCTTAAATTGCTGCAGGTTGTTAAAAAACTGACAGGTGACAGGCGAAACAGTCGCATGAACAGAAAACGGCACTGAACTACTATAAAACTTCAAATAGGATAAGTTTCAATAGAGAAGACCCTTGGATATGGGTTCATTAGTTCTGTATTAATCCCATTGTAGTAAATCCTGCACTACTATTCATGATCGTCCCTAAACTGAAGTATACACAGAAGATTATTTTGGGTAGGTTACATATCTTTCATCAAGAGGCAGATCATGCAATAAATTAGATTAACAAAAACCTTAGTCCCCAAGTACTTAATGGAATCTGTAGAACAGGCTGCTACTGAGTGCAAGTAAGAAGGTCAGAACGTGACCTAGTATAGAGGTTTGGGGTTTTTTAATGGAATAGAGGAGTTTATTTAGTTTAATGAACAGTTATATTTTTATATAGCATATTTTTTCTTTTAATATTCTCCATCAAACTGCTGCTGTTCTTTTACGTTTGACAGTCCATAATGCACAAGTGCAATAATTTACAAAAGATAAAGGATTTGACCTGCAAAACTATAATCCTTACTTTAGGAGTATAAAAATAGATATGCAGGAAATCAATGTTCTTACTTTTCAGGAAGAAGAAATGTGATTTGATAGAAAACAGACTGCTACCTTAAATTTTTTTAGCACTACATTACTTTTTTAAATGGAAAAAACCCCTGCGTGGTGAGGGAACAGATAATAACAGAAGTGTAAGAAATGTCCCAGTATAAAATCCCTTTAAGTAAGTTTCACAATGTGGGCTAATTAGCTTCAGTATGTTCACATATTTAAGTCTCCTTATTTGATTACATCAGAGAAATTTTCCTATATCACACTGCACAGAGAAGATTTTTGCTGCACGTAATGTTCGTGGAAAATCTCAGGTGAAAAACTAAGCACTAAATAAATTATCCTGTCCTAAGGACCTGAGTGAACTCCATCGGTGAAAATAGTCCTATAACCTTCAGTCAGTTGGACAGTATCTTACACAGTAGGTAACAGCACCAGACTGACATCTTTATTCTCTAATTAAGGCAAAAACTTCAGTCCTCATGACAGTCAGTGAAGTTTCTCATTTCAAATGCAATACAGGCTTGAACACAGATGATATCGATGTTCCAGTCCAAGCCACCAACAAGGCAGGTTTGTATTTACAAATAGACATATGCCATTTGTGTGCCAGATTGGCACCCCCACAAGCTGAGAATTGGGCACGTGTTTAAGCGGCAAATCAGACTGATCCCCTCCTCCTCAGACAGAAGTATTAATTTCTATTTACACTAATGCTTAGGCTCAGGCTGTGATTTGACACTTCATGCTTTTAGCGCTACCGGTCCTCCTTCCCTCCCCTTCCATTTGCCAGTTTGCCCCCCCCGGCCCCCCCTCCCCCCCCCTCCCTTTCCCCAGCCTCCGGCGGGGGCCTGCCACTTCTGCCCACATTACTGACAAAACTTTCCTATCAGGCCATGGCCCCAGCTTGTATTAACCTGAATATAAGCCACTGTTGCCAGTGCGCACAGCACACAGCGATGAAGGACAAGGCCAGTAACGTGTTTCTCAGAAGCTGTATTGCTTTTCTAAAGTGGATGTACATTTTATGTAGAAAGTGAAAAAATATTCTACCTGGGACTGATAAGTGAACTTTCAGCTAATTTTTATGCAGAACACATACTATGGAAAAGATGGTACAAAAAATGATGGCAGTGGATTTTTTTTTTCCTCGAGAGAACATCTGCACTGTGAAGTTTGAGTATAGATTCTTACTTGACAGAAGTATGGGCTTACGTTAGTTTTTGAACCTTCTCCAGTTCTTGTCCGTACAGGTATTTAGAAAAAGCAATTAAATATTCAACAGTCTTCCAGTTTCCTTTCCAAATATGACATTTCCGCTGGAATGAATTGTGATAAAATATGATGCAATGCACTTATTCTTGGCCTGCATATTTCTTCAAGGCATGGTTGTGTTTGTCCTTAATTTAACTGGCACAAAACATTCAACTTTTCCTGAAAAATAGCATTGCACACAAAGCCTACAGTTACACAGAATGGTAAGAGGTAACATGCAGAAGGCATTCAAATACCTTTCTCAGTGGGTCAGGGGGTATGTGCTTCTTAATTTCCTATCTATGTATCCATCAAAATTAAGGATACCAAAATAATGGATTTTGCAATGAAGCTAAAATTCTATACAGTTTTGTACTAATTCAAACATCCATAAGTCATGCAACTAGACGTGCTAATCTTTTTCCAGTAGAATGAAGAAGTGATATTTTTGTATGCATTTTGAGTATTACTATTCTGTCTTTGCATGTCAGGTATTAAATCTGGAGATGTATTTTAAGTTTTTTACCCTTTTAAAAAGCTGCATTTTAAAAGTAATTGTACTCATTAACTGGAAAATAAAGTTGTGCATACTGAAAACATGCTCCATGTGTCTGCATGGGGTTTTTTTGTTTGTTTTTTTTAAACTCTTCTCTTTGTGAATTCCTATTATGGGGAAATAAAGCATATTATGCAGGGATCAGCATCACACTTCCCTTGGAACAACAAAGACAAACGGGAAAACCTGTTCTCTCTGCCTTGTGGGGATAAGACAAGGAACATTAGGCTTAAATGGCAGCTTTTATATGTTAAGGCTATGAAGATAATGAGCGACATTGTCTGCAGGGACACAAGATCCCAATCCTGGAGACTTTTGGTGAGACAGTCACGAATCTGAAGTGTCTGGAGCAGAGCTGCCCCTACCTTCGGATTGTGGAAGGACTGCTTGAGGCCACTTTCTACCCTATAACCTATGATTTAATTGTGTTTATATTCCTTTCCTCTCTTCAGTGCTCTAGAAGCACTCTATGAAGACAGTATCCCGCCGAATTACGTAGGATTTAGCAACCGCTAAGCTTATGGAAATGGCACAACGCAGGCTCTTGAGGCAGCGAGCTCTACGGCTGCGACGCTTTCGGGTGTGCTGGAGGCCCACTGTCCGCCCAGCCGCTGGCATTTCCATGGCCCCGGTTGTCAGGAATCTGCCGATTCCATGGCGAAACCTAATGCCGACCACCCGCAGCCGGGAGAGCCCAAGGCGGCTCCAGCTTTGCCCGGTTTCTGGGAAGCCCGCACCCTACCAACCACCCTCCCGCCAGGCCCGCAGGCACGGCGGCCGCG